ACCACACGCAGCGCACTCCATTTAGAAGTACGCGCAAGCAATGTGCTGCATAATGTTGCGCAGCAGTGCTGCTGTCTCCTTCTTCTTGTCGTCGTCGCTCTTGTCCTGCAGCGCTGCTGTCTCCTTCTTCTTGTCGTCCTTGTCCAGCTTGTCCTGCAGTGCTGCTGTCTCCTTCTTCTTGTCGTCGTCGCTCTTGTCCTGCAGCGCTGCTGTCTCCTTCTTCTTGTCGTCCTTGTCCAGCTTGTCCTGCAGTGCTGCTGTCTCCTTCTTCTTGTCGTCGTCGCTCTTGTCCTGCAGCGCTGCTGTCTCCTTCTTCTCGTCCTTGTCCAACTTGGTCAACTTGGCCTCCAGCCACTGCAACAGGAACGCCTTGCCCTCAAGCAACCGGTACATGGCATCGGAGAGAGAAGTAGAGGAGAATACGTATGCAAACAGCAGCGATTCCCAATCCAGAACAACTTTTGCAGGAATCGCTTCTGCGTCGTGATGCAGCAGCCACTTGCGAGGGCGCTCCCGCAGCCGCGTGGAGTAAGATTCGGGAAGCGACGAAGGGGGGGTCTGTGCTTCATCCCGCGAGCGAGCCTTGCAGAGGAAACCAAAGTCGACGATGCAGCCGTTGCGCAGGATGTTGTGCGAGCGAATGTCACGGTGACAAAGATCCCGTTTCGACAAGCGGAGGAGGTACTCAGCAGCGGCCGCAAGCCCCGCTTCGTCCTTGATGCCCGTGCCATGAAGCGCCTTCTTGCCGTCGGTGCCCGCGCCCGTTATATGATTCGATAGGTCGGGACAGGCAAACACGGGGCGTGACCGCTCGTGCACTTTCACCGTTTCCTCTGGATAGACGAGTTCCCAGCCCTCCCGTTCGTTGCTAGCCTCCTTGGCAGCGCCAATCTCGTGGCCGCCGCACACTTTCAACACCTCGCCGTTCACCAATGCAACCGTGACCGTATCCTCATCGCCTTTGTAGACGCACATCTCGTATCTCGTGGCAACTTTGGCAGACCTCGCCCGTGCTGCTTTTGTGACCGCAAGCTGCTGACGCTGATGCCCCTCCTTGCCGTTGTCTGCTGTGTCGGTCTGCGTGGCTGCCTTGTCGCGCTCTTCCTCATTCTGCACACCCCCATCAGCGCTATCGTTGGTGCCGCCGTTGCCACTGTTACTGTTGTCGCTCGCACCACCGCTAGCTGCGGATGAATCTCTGTTGTCTCCGTGCTCCGGAATGGAGGTGAGACCGCTCCCCTTTCCCTGTGCCATGGCGTATGTGTGTGTGTGTGTGTGCGAGTGCGGAAGTGAGTATCATTGTTGATTGTTGAACGAAAGAAAGACGATACACGCACGCACACAGGATTTGTGTGTGCATATGCGTTTGTGTGCGAGGTGTGTCATGATGGCAGAATACCAAGGCAGCAAGCGAGCAAGACAGCAAGAAGACAAGCAGACAACAGAGTAAGTGGGCATCAAGTCACGCCTGCGACGGCTACCTGGGCAATGGCGGAAATATTCTCGTAATGCGCCATGTGCTCTTCGTCAAGCAGCCACGCAATGACATTCCCGAGTTTCTCCAACTAAAGTCCACAGCACAGGAAACCAATGTGAGCGCAGCGTCCAACGTGAATTAGCAGTATACAAGGCAACAGCCAGTCGACAGCAACTGCACATGCACACGTGCAGGAGCATGTGCCACACACACACACACACACAACGCACACCCTTCTTCTCTGTTCGCACATGCGGTGGCAACTCACTTTGGTGTCGCAAAGTTTTGTGTGGAGGACGCTGGGAAAGGCCTCCTTGCCGTGCACCTCATCGCCCAGCGTGCACGCGTACACGGACACGTTCTGCCCGCAGACGGTGATGGCAAAGGGAAACAAATACCCTTTCAAGTCACGCCACTCCGGCCCTGCAGACTTGATGGCCCGTGATGCGTACTCCAGCACCTGCGCCTTGGCAGCATCCTGTGTCGGCTCGCTGTCATCGGTCTTGAGCTCAAGCAACAGCGGGTAGAAGTCAAGGTTTGACATCAGACGCACAACATAGTCGGCGACAACAGCGGTGTCGGCCTCAAATGATGCATGGCTCTTGACGTCCACTTTTGCATCACCACAAGCCTTGAGCAGAGGTATCTTCATGCGGTCGTTGAACCGCGTCTCTGGCGTGCAAAATACGCCAGAAAAGCCTGCAGTGCGGTGGGCGTGCATGGTGCAGCGTTGGTGTGAGCGACAGAGAGACATCCCCTCAACGCTAGCACACCCGCGCACGAGCGCCAAAGACTCAACCACCATGCATCAGCACCGACACACACACACACACACGCACACATGCCACGTTCTCTCGTGGAAAGGACGCTCACATGTGCACGTGTACACAGCAAGCAAGCACATGCTCGACAACGACCTTACCCGTGTTTGTGCCCTCATCGACTGCCCGTTGAAACCCTTTGTTGTGCAGGTGCCAGTTGGGGCACAAGAGCTCGGCAGAGAACGGCTGCGAATAGACTGTTCTGTGGGCCGAATCCTTGTCCTTCTCCTTCTCCTTGGCAGCGCTGCTGGGGGTCACGCTTGACTCCAAATCTGCCACGAACCACATCAAACAGCCAATATGAGTTCAAAACAACCCGCAAGCAACGTGTCAGTCAACCAGGGTGCTCATGCACAGGGCTGCTCGCAGTAATCTAACAACACCGATGCACACACACACACACACACACACACACACACACACACACACACACAAGCATCAGCCCATTTGGTCACGCAGCCGCACATGAAAGGCTGAGTGAGACAGGCGCACCTTGTCGAAACTGCCGTTGCTCTTCGGACAGCCCTTTGCGTGTCACATTGTCAAGCTCCAGAAGGAACCCTTCCGCAACCTTCAAGGGCACCTGTGGCGTCGGCGTCTTTTTCTCATCCAGCACACTGCGGACTTGCTGGAGCAAGTTCTTGATGTTTTCCGTGTAGGGCTGCTTCAGCATGCTGTCGACATAATTCTTTGCCTTGGGTGCGTTGTCGAGAGGGCCGGGTGAACCGATTTCGATCCCATGCCGGCCTGCAATTGTGCTGATCTGCTCGGCGAAGGCGCGGTATGATCGCTTGCAGTCTTGCAGAGTGCCCCCCAAAAGGCTCTCGTACTCTTTCATTGCTGCTTGCAGATATGCGCGCGCAAGCACAGCAGCCTGAAAGAAAAGAGGGCGGGTCGATTGAACGAAGTACAGCAGGTGCCCACAAAGTGAGATTATGGCTGGTGTGCACGTAGACAATTTTGGCGCCAAGAGGGTGTTGATGATGTTTCCCCACCTGACACACACCCACACACCCACACACATATGCACACACACACGCACACACATGCACACAAACATACACACAGGTGCACACACTCACACATACATAGGTGAGCACACTCACACATACACAGGTGCGCACATGTACATGCACATAACCATACACTCATACACGCGCCCTCTCGGGCTATCGCCACACGTTCGCACACAACCCAAACAATAACTCACGTCGTTTGTCGACAGGCTTGTGATGTCAGACTCTTTGGTTTTCCTCTTTTGAGAGGTGGACATTGCGGTACTGTTGTTTGAATCCTCTCCCTTGCATCGTGCATCATGTGCGTGTGTGTGCGTGTGTGTGTGCAGGCGTACATGTGTGAGAAACAAAAAGCGCGCGCATTTGTGCTAGCAGGCAAGTGCTTCGACAACAAGTGATGCTGGGCCGTCACGTTGCACACGCTGCGTGCGCTGCAACGCACGTTTGAACGGCTCCCTCTCCATCGCTTGCTCAGC